GGTTTTTTTTTTTTTTTTTTTTGTAAACGCCGTTGTGACTGTATAATATATAAATGCACGGGTAAAAAAAAGAAAAACGATTACTGAGACATACCGTTATAACAATATTATAATCGGGGTTCGGGACCTTATTGTAGCACAAGAATTGAACAAAAAAGTGTTTGTACAACTTCATTAGAGCCCTGAAATAATATGCGCTCACAAAATATTATAAGAAGAAAGCAATAAAAAAAAGAGGAGGGGGAAATCTGTGTCCTATTAGTGGCTTACGCAATCACAAAAATATAAAAAAAGAGAAAAAAAAAAATTTTTTTTTTTTAACTCCATATCGGCAGCGAGAAAATCGCATCTTTCAAACTTAACATAACGTAACACGACGACGCGTCTTGGATTTCCGTACAGCAATCCGCTGCACGGTTGTTTCAATGGCACGGCGAAAAACTGAGCGAACGCCGTAACCGTGTTTATAATAATAATTTAATTATGACGTAGTGTTACGCGCGCGGATTTGATATTAGTCGGTGCGTTTTTCACGCCGAAAAATTAGAGGAAGAAGGGGAAAAAAAACGAGTTTTAACGAGCGTTTATAGAGTAGACACAGGACTACTATATTATAATATACGTACAACACGCGTTTCACCGAACAATTTTTTTTGAGACCGGTGTCCGGACCGCCGCGGCGGAATTATTAAAATATACGTATACCCGCGTCTCGTTTTCATCGAAGATAGGATGGAAAAAAAAAAAAAAAAAACAGTCATGCTAACAGTATTATTGCGGAGGAACACGTAATATTTTAGGCTCATAACTTTCGGGAACCAGTTGTCGCGCTCGTATTCGGCATAAAATAGATATAGTGAACCGTGAATATATGTATGCGTGTACACGCGAGCAATACGTATGTATACGTTTGAATACCTCCTCGGGGCCGACAAAGCCGTTTTTTCGTATATACCTACCGAAAAGTCGCGTGGAAAACCACACATATTTCAATAAAGTATAGAAGCAGGACTGTATAGGAGTTTTGTACGGGTATAATATTATAATCGAAATTCCCGCTCTTGTATCACAGACGCCGCCGTAATAAATCGATCCGCGCGGCAGTCGTGGGGGGTTATATTATTCTATGGCGACGCGTTAAAACGATTTTTGTTTTCGGTTTTTTTTTTTTTTTTTTTTTTTTTACTTATCTTTCACCATTATTATTTATGGGCAATTTTTTTCGGACGCGAATCGAACTCTACCGAACTCTGCCGCGGACAGCGGCCGGTTAAATTTTTGAAATCTGATTACGAAACGAGATTGGTACTTACCGGTTCTCCGGACGCGTAACGCACGCGAAGGTTTGACGAACGAGCCTCGCGATTATCAAAGGCACAGGTGCTTTCTCTACTTACCCCCCCCCCCCCCCCCCAAAAAAAAAAATATGCGGTTGTATAGGATTGGGAATAATATGAAGACACCCGTCGAGTGGCGGGATCGGGTCAATCAGAAGTTTAGAACGAGGGTGGCCGACCCCGAATAGTTGGGATGAAGGTGAACGAGAAGAAGAAGTAATAATAAATCAAACAATGAAAAAAAATATTGTGTAAACAAATTATGAATTTGTTTAAATCGCTTAATTAACTTGTTTATAACACACATTATATGTTCATTATGCATTTGAACGTTTAAAATATTCCTCCGTGAGAATTCATCGTCGGAAAAGGTGCGAAATGGTGCTTGATATTTATAACAATATAATAATTGTGCACGGTTCGGACGTCACAGATCAAGTCCTCTTATTGGAGTGCAATTAACTGCCACCAGAGTGTAGACCCGCACAGTGGCACCCAAGCTACATTTTTATGGTGTTGCAGAATTTCAAATTCAAAACCACCTTCCGTCTTAAAAACTCTTGTGTTTAAATTTTACTACGAAAAAAGAGTAAAACTTTTCAATTTTTATACCCATTCTACCCGACCGTTCCGAATCACAATAACCGAGAACACCAACGCCCATCCAACGTATGACGTGTAGTACACTCGAGGTATAGTTTTTACGCCACTGGACATGCAGTGCAAGCACGAACAAATCGTCAAAACTCGTGACATAAAAATACTCATACAGTGTATATCTATCTATTCAGTGACGTATTTATTGAGAGGGGAGTGCAACAAGGACAACTGGCCCTCAACCTCTTCTTTAAAATTACTTATGTTTTGTTTGCTATTGCCATTAATAATAATTGCAATCTGTTTATTTAACATTGATTGGCAAAAGTAGATTTTTTTTTTCTTATCAATGACACAATATAAATTGATAACCACAAATAGGTTTTATCTATTATCGAATTCTCTCCTATCGAAAATTTTTAAAATATTGCTCGAAAATGTTTCGGATATTAAAATATTTAACGAAGGCTGCCCTCCCCCCACATTCCTAAAATTCTGTCTACGCAACTGTATCTACTCGTATCCAATCCTAATCGATTAATATTCATCTTGAATATTTATATAATATAATATATTGTGCATACGTATTATTAAATATTATCCGTTTTGAAAACTGGCTTAAAATGTGTATTTTATTATCCCCTCCCAACTATATATTATTATAGTTTTCCGATAAAACCTGATTTAAATACGTCAAGGTCGTCCGGCCAAAATATTTTTTTAACGATAACTGAAAAAAATAGGATCGTTGCGGGCATTGCGAGTATAAACATCAGATTGAAATTCGTACCGCGAATGCATCATACGTCATGTTCGGTTTATTTTTTTTACGGGCCGTTTCGTTAAAAAAAACTGTATTATACATTTTACACCGCGATTGCGATTAGCTGCAACAGCGTGTCTCTCGGACAGATTTTTAATCGATATTCTGTGTACGATCATCTGCAGATGTGCCAACGACGAAAATAAGAATACTCGGTGATGTAATTCGTTTCATTTCGGCGGCGGCGGCGTCCTCAATACGATTATACTCGTCGCGTTTAATAATATAATCCGAGTGTGTGGAATTAATTTTTCGACGCGGTTAAAAAGAAGAACGACGACGGAAAGACAATCGTCGTATTATATATTTAACTCTCGTTTTTTTTTTTTTTTTTTCTAATTTTTTCTTTCGCTCTTCGTTTCCCACGAAAGCGAAATGATTATATTTGTTTTCTATAATATAAAAATAAATTTCAATAAAATATTCGAATGATTCGATCAATGTAATACCCGTTATGGGCCGTGTAATTGCCGGTCAATGGAAACCCTAACGGTATTAAGTGAAAATAATCAGAAAATTTCCCAGCTAAAAGTAGGAAATTATTTCGAATGTTATATTATAAATTATACATTGTTCAATCGTCAGGTACTTAGGTTATTAATACAATAAATCAAATATAAATAAAACTGCATTACACAAATGAAAATCGTAAACATTTTTTTTTTTTTTACATGAATATTTCAAATTCACTATAGAGTGTGCTGGCTTCATATGCGACACGTACGCAAACTTAACAGTCGGTGTTGTGGCAATTCATTCGGGATTTAAATTGTAATACTTCTAATAAATTGAAAACGACATTGTAAATAATTAATCACGATACTATAATTAAAGTGAGCATACAGAGAACTGTTAATTCAAATTTTGATTTTATAATTCATTAATCAATAATCGTCAATGTTAAGACGCTACTTGAAACATTCTTGTTCACATCAAAACCACAAATAAAAAAAAAAATACTCAATCAATGTTATAAACGTTTCATTATTTTGAAAAAAAAAAAAACGAATAGTCAATGTTCATAAAAATATTTATTTTATAAAAAATAGTTTGTGAAGTATTAACTGTATTTTGTTTTCAATTAATGTTTGCATTAATTTTCGGAAGGGGCTGTGTGCAATACGTTAAATCAGGATTTATGCACATTTGAACAGCAATATAGACAAATGGCCCAAATAAAAGTGTACAAAGTATCCTTTTCCGTGGCTGAAACTACTCGCAAACTCGCGGCCAACAATACAATTCCAAGTTGGATTGTGTCTTTTGTTAAACGATTCGGCAATAGATGCAGCCATGTCCTATTAAATAAACAATCGTTTATTAAATTAAAATTGTAATAATTTATATTAAAACTTGATAACTTTGACTATGGAAAATGCGAAACGAAAACAAACAATATAAATTTCAACAAGTATTAATCATCCGGGGAAACAATTTAATTTAGCCCACTGGATTATACGCGCGTAATAATTTAATTATAATTTACAATAGTCGGATGTAAACACTTGTAGAAAATCTATACTCGGAACAGGGATCTCTAGGCGTTGAGGCTACTGGGGGAACCGTAATATAAACTAGGTAAATACTACATTAGAAGTTGATACACTTTGTAAATAACCTGTCCATCCCGAGTAAAAAAAAAAAAAAAAAATGTATGTTTATCTGATATAAGAACCGCTTTAAAAATGCAGATCTCGGTTACGTAGTGTACCTAGCGTAAAATGTACTTTTTGAAAATTCCGAGAACGTTGACTTTGTAATTGATAAGTACTTTAATTGTTTTTAAATACTAATTAATTATTAATGGCAATTAAAAACACTATTGAGTAAGTGCCTATACACGATATCGTATACACCGACCGCACTGGAAATAAACAAAAGTACAATGTCATTGGTATATTTGAATTTGTAAACTATTGAACAATATTACTTTTAAATTGAAATCGATTTGTGCGTAGAGAGGAATCTAATACGAACGCATAAGTCGTAAGTAAATATTTATCGAAATTAAATGTATTATAGTGTAATACTCTCTCGGTACTGTATTTTTCGAGTGCTCGGGTAGCATAGTCAACTGCATTTTCTTCCATCTCCTCGGACATATCAGCGTTTATAACAACTGCTTGGTGATCAGACATCTTAATGGGCATTAGAAATAATCACGTCGAATATTAACGATCGGGTTTTAAATCGCTATGTTGAAAACGAAATCGACAAATTAAATGTCTTGTAAATAGTACGGTCAACGACTTACCTTTAAACGAAAAGTACAAGGAACTATTACGTCGTTTTGTAGTGATTCCCACGGTATATGCTCCAATGTCTGGACGTCTTGGGAAAAAGCGGTGCACACAAGTAAAACTTTTAATCGTCAAGTTACGATAATTCCCGAAATTTGCCGATAAAAAAAATGTCCGAGTGATAGATAATACATCTGTTTATTAAATAATATTCAACTCTCATTGGTCAAGGGACGGCAGTTTCTATTAGCCACTCTACTATCGGCATGATAAGAACGATAAAAAAGAATCCATTTGAATGTGTCAGTGTTAACTGATTTTCTTAAATTGTTTTATTTTACAACCGGATGCTTCACTGCGCTCATCGCCAAGATTAGCGCTCCGCCCCTACAGCTCCGGCGCTTCTCTAGATCAGGTTCTTGTAGGCGAATACGGGGAAACAAAGATACAGAAAATGGTGTAAAAGATCCAATGTTTATTTGATACGGTTGGAATTGGTAAGTTTTCATGTAAAATATATAGATGTTAATTTTTTTTCTAGGTTTTTTCTATTAGTCTCTAAGTGTTAGAATGATAGTCCAAAATGTAGCAGTGAAATAAAGTTTTAATCTAAATTCAGTTATACCGGATCACATTTTGACATATGAACTATGGACTTTTCCGCTTTGTGTTTAAATACCAACTTAGAAGTATCGTGACATTATTGTGCGTGTATATGTGTACATGTGTCACTGTTAATTTTTCGTTAATCCGCTGACTAGATATTCCACTTTTAAGTTTGGGTCGGGGGAAAGTAGTGGAACATTATTAAAACGTCACGCGCCGTGCCGCCACACAAATGATACTCCACTACTCTCCTATGTTCCATTACAATACTCGCGCCGACCCTAACTTAAAAGTGGAATACCTCGTCAACGGATTGACGGAAATCAAAATTATCGACACCAAGATGCATTTTAACTAATATCCCACCTATTTGTAGAATTGTTAACATGTCGGTTGCCATTTGAAAATCAAAAGTAGATGGTGGTTATACCACCGAAAATGGAGGCGACAAAAAACAACATAAGTGTAAAATTGTAAAATTGCTTTTTTTCTTAAATGTTGTATAAAACAAATTCCGAAAACAAGTTAATGCTTTCCGAGATAATTAGTGTCTTACGATAGATCGATCACGCTGCATAGTACGCTGCACCTACTTATTTTCCGAAAAACTGCGTGATTATAAATCCGTGTAAAATATTCAAATTTACTACAAAGTAATATTCTCTCGCAGTGCATACTGTTATATAGTTTTATGTTTTTTGTTTCACTGAAATCAAATAATAATTTTTTAATTTCAAGTTTTATTTTTATATTTTGATCATATGATAATATACCGTCCCGATGGTCTTTAATACAAATAAAACTTTTATTTTTTTTTATTTTTTTCATCGACCGTTGTGTAATTTGTTTGTGTTTATGGTTTGTTCAGATTTAAAGTTTATTAAATTTTGATAATTAGCCGTAGATCGCTTAGCACGGGTATCATCAATGTTAACACTCGGTTGTCAATCCACATGCAGCTACGGATCACGCTTAGTTCGCTTACTATGCAGTATTGACTAGCTCATGCTAAACAATAAATTGTTTACGACAATAACGTACAATTGAATGTGTACAAATTGTATATTACCATATAACATTCTCGAGTAAAAATTCTCCCTCGTTAAACTCAAACCATTTTAACGTACTCATCTAGGCAGGTACCTAGTAAGTATTTAATATTTTTGTGAATGACTATTTAAATGCTTTTTATCATTTTGTAGACAAATACTGCGATAACAGCCAATCGGTATTCACCGAACGATGTTCTAGCGTCCAGTTAACAAATTAATATAATACATGCGCAGTATACATTTGTTGCGAATGGGTACGCAATTTGTTGAATTGCGAATGTTCAGTGACCAATTTTTTTCAATTAAATGATGAATGTCGTTTTAAATAACGAATGGCGCAATATACATAAATTATACAAAAAAAAACTTATTTTGGACGACGGGAATCGTTTCTATATCTGTTTTTAGCTCGCGAATTTCCATAGCAATAATTATTACGGTATTGTTAACTGGCAGGGTGTGTCGCGGCCCAACCGATAAGGGGTTGTCTGTGGCACACATGATTTGAACGTTCTATGGTACTATGGCGCGTGTGCTGATATTTTATAATTTCATAATGATAATATTATATAATATTATGTATTCATAATCATTTATAATATTCAGATGTGTTAAGTACTATGCTATTAAATATTACGAGGTACCTATCGAAATATTACAAGTAAACAGCAAAATGTAGAAATATTCGTGTCTCAGGATTGTTGGTTTATATCATGTAAAAGTGAATTATTCACAGCGAATCCATTATTGACTATAAAACTGTAAACTAACAAATGTTACTAACGTAATCGAATATAAAATTATAATATGACGTATACAATTTGTTTTTATTTATTTTAAGTGTACCTAGAGAATCGTTTTTTCGTTAGTAATGGTTCATCGTTGCGTATGGATACAAATTAATTTCCCCTCTACATGCTACATTCCCAACGTCAACAAAAATGGCCCACCCATCGTGTCAGTCATTTTTACTTATTAACTGTACAATTTTTTGTCATTTAGGTCGCAATTGAATGTTATTTTAAAATAGAAGTTAAATCGAAATTGAACATAAATTATGAAATGTTTTTAGGTAGGATAACCAATTTTTCAAAATTTTTCAAAATTGGTTATCCAGGTTTGTTGAATATTTTTCACTGAAAACGTGGTCCGTACGACAAGAAAAATTCAAAAAAGTCATTAATGTACTATTTACATACGAGTAGTTACGAAAATTATACATTGACCGCTGTCGGTCTATGATTAACCGTTATTTGATCAAAAAATAATAATATTTTGCTGTATATTTTTATGTATGCATTGCACATCATTGTTAACATATTAAGTGGAATCAATAGAACCATAACGCAAGGGGTAAAATTAATTTATAGTTTATTCATAATCATAATAAAATACATTAACAGTTCCTATATCCGTGTTGTAATTAGTATCAAAAAAAAACACGGACATACTTCACACGATGGGTGGACCATTATTGTAGGTCAGAGGTTAGGAAGCTAGGCTATAGAAGGGAATTAAAATTATATCTGCCCGCCACTATAAACCATTGCCAACGAAAAACGATTCGAAGTAAAGTTTCTTTTATACATACACGTACATTTTAGCGGCTTTTCCCAATTAATATGCAAACCGTTTGGAAAATTAAAAAATTACTCTCTTAAAGTACCAAGGAGATACAATTTCCTTTTAGTAAAGGTACTACATTTAAAACATTAGAGATAGATTTCTAGTAGAAAAGTTGGAAAAGTTGTTCAAAGAAAAAAAATAAAATAATAATCATAATTTTAAATAAACGAAAGGATTTCCCGCTACGCTTCGAATCTAAAAAATAAAAACGGACATATAGATGAGAATATGGAAAGGTAGGATAAATAGAGAGGAATTTAATTGATATTAACGATTAATCGTTGCTAACGAAATAACTTATAATCAACCATCTATTCAGTTTTCAAGAATTTCTGTTTGGTTTAACAATTTTATCCACAAAGTCCTACTGAATAAAAATGACGTAAAAAACTCGCAAAATTAAAATGTCCATGAATAGCTCAAAAGCGGATCAAATGTTTTGAAAACTACACCACGTGTATAAAAGGCAAATATACACATTTTTTCTCCAAATTTTAAGTCTTTAAGATTATTTTTAACTGAATTACATAAAAAAAAAAAAACCAAAATTGAAACTAATAAAAGCATAATTTTCATAAATTTATCCATTTTTTTTTACGTTTTTTTTTTCGGTATTATTAAATTTAAAAAAACTACACGAAAAATTAGAAATGACTCTTGTTCATCGACTTTATCAAATACTTAACAACAATGATCTCTTGAAGTTTTTTAACGGAACAATATTCTTGGTAGATAATATAAACCTTGAAAATTTAAAATATACCGTCACGCTTCAAATTTATCAGTTTTCATTTTTCGTATTTTTTTTGGTTTTTCTCAATTGTTATGGAAACTACTTTGAAAATAAACAGAACGGTTTTCTTCGTAAACAACTAAATATAAAATTCAACAAAAAGTTTCTTGTCATTTTTTGCGAAATGTCTAGTAGAGAACATGAGTTACAACAAAAAAGTCATAAGATAATGGGGTCGGGTGCAGCCACTGTTATAAGCAATTAAATACCTGTAAGCAATGATAAGCCATTGATAACGAAAAAAAAAAACGATTCTGAGAAGAGTTCAGTTGATATTGATGCTTTGTCAACAATATGTATGTCATATTTCGGTAAAATAATTAAATAGGCATTATCATCTTTAATATGTTATTTGTTTAATGTACCGATTTTCCCGTTTTTCCTAATTTTTTCCCGGTTATTCCATGTTTTGTCCCGGTTTTACACATTTACTGGGAAAACTCTTTAGAGAAAATCGAAAAATGACATCTTTAAAACACCTCAACAGTTCAGTTTTATTTCAGAACAGGCGCTAAACTTAAAAATCGGAGCGAGATTTCTGGTAGAAAAGTTACGCGCAGGTAAAAAACAAAAACATCTTGCATTTTCGCTCCGTTCAGAATCTAAAATCACCTTAACTGAAATCGATTCAAAACACAATGGCACGAAAAATCACCTAACCGTCTCTACGAGGTTCGGATTTGTATCTGCAATCCGAAGTATTACTGTCGTACTGTCGAGAGTAACGTCTCGTCGCAATAACAGTACGGAAATCGTTTTCAAAGCGGAAAAATAATAATGGGACGTTAAAGAATGCGTAACCAATGGTGGACGTCCGTACG